AATAAACCACCAAGCTGAACGGAATAGAAAAGGCGTGCGTTTTATTACGGTCCCTAGAAATTTGTGACCAAAATTACGATAAGGCGCTTGAGTTGCTAAAAAATCGTTTTGAAAATAAACGTCTAAATTTTCAGACACATGTGAGAGCCATTTTTCAGCTGGACAACATCGTTGCCGGTTCAGTGGCAAGCTTGCGTGGGCTGAGTGACAAGCTAAACGCACATCTACGAGCATTGGCAACGTTGGGAACTAAGGAGCAAATTGCGGATGGGGTGTTAATCCACATGGTGTGCCAGAAGTTGGATACTGCTTCTAGAACGAAATGAGAGGAGGAAACTCCTAACAACGAAATACCAACCTGAAACTTTCTAGAACGACGCTGTCAGCGGCTGGAGAGGGTGGAGGACGCTCTGGGCATGAATCGCGTATGACGACAATCGTCTGAACGATATCGTGTTGAGATTGTGTTGCTTCATAAAAATCAAAAATTGTTTGATCGTTTGCACGATATCGTCAACTCGATTCCAGTTTTGCTTCACGTAACAGTAATAGTAACACGTAACAGCAACACAAATGCATAAATCAGTCTTTTTACGAGGTCGTTTTGTCAGTATCGTTTGAACGACTATCGTTTTAAAGTTACGTGATTCATGCCCTGGTAACTAAAATACCAAACAAACAGGTGAGCAAAAATTCATCTTTAGGCAGTAACCGCAAGGTGTTCGTTTCATCTGCCACAACTAATTGCCTAATTTGTAACCATCAGCACACGGTTTTCCAGTGTGAGACATTTCTTGGTTTTACCCCCCTTATGCGGTATAAAGAGGCAAAACGACTTCAACTGTGCCTAAATTGCTTACGAAAAGGTAATTCACTAAAGCACTGCAAGTCTGGCTGTTGCAGATATTGTTCAGCAAAACACCATACTCTCTTGCAGAGAATTCCTGTCACACTCAGATCAAGTCACACATACGTCATCGCATCTTGTTACATTGCCAGCAAATACAGCTACATCATCTTTGTTTTCGACTGCTGGTATTGAAACCAGCTCACTCTTATCGCATCAACCTCACCCAGGGCCCACATCGCTAATTAGTTCCAAGCTTGGGACTGCAGAACCTGGCCATAATTTCGTCCTTTTAGCCACTGCGATCATACTTATCAAAAATCGCTCTGGATCACTCGTTCTGTGTCGAGCGTTGCTTGACTCCGCCTCGCAACTGAATTTCGTCACCAATCGCTTAGCTAATCAGCTTCAATTGAAGAAAGTCAAATCAACAACATCAATTTCAGGCATAGGCCAAATTGATTTTGTCGCCGATCATATGGTTGATCTAGAGATGCATTCGCGCATCGGTGAATATCAAACACAGTTGTCGGCAGTAGTCACCCCTTCTGTCACAGACGCTCAGCCACTTCGTTCCTTGAATAACATTGAGTGGAAAATCCCATCAAACGTATGCTTAGCAGACCCTCTATTTTTTGAGTCGCAACGTGTAGAAGTTCTCATTGGAGCAAGTTTGTTTTTTAAGTTACTGTGTGTGGGTCAAATTCGGCTAAGCGAGCAGTTACCGCTTTTGCAAAAAACAAAGCTCGGCTGGATTGTTTCTGGCGAAGGTACGTGAAGGGTGCTAAGGCCATCATCCGCAATCGATGTAGAAACGGTAAAAGACATCAGCTAAGCAGTTAGGCGACTCCTATCAACAGGCACTTCACCGTTTTAAAAACTTAGAGTGAAAGCTTCAACATAAACCGGAAATAAAACAACAATACTCGTCGTTCATGAAGGAGTATCATGACCTTCAGCATATGTCGCATGACCTTCACCAAGTCGATTTTCTGTAAATTTTTTGCCGCACCATTGCGTTTTAAAGGCTCATAGTACAACGACAAAGCTACGGGTAGTGTTTGATGGTTCTGCATCAACGACGAGTGGTTATTCGCTCAACGACCTACTAATGGCAGGCCCTACTATACAGCGTACACTTATTGACACTCTTTTGCAATTTCGTTCATTTAAATTTGATATTACTAGCGACATATTCAAAATGTACCGCTGTGTTAGGATGGCATATGAAGACAGCTTTCTCCAGTGTATATTGTGGCGGGATAATCCAAGTGAAGACATCAGGGTTTACAAGCTAGATACCATCACTTATGGTACGAAGCCTGCATCGTTTCTCGCCATCCGTGCAATGAGGCAGTTGGCCGTTGATGAAGGGCATGCGTATCCAATCGGTGCTAAGGTCATCTGCCGAGATTTTTATGTGGATGACATGATTTCTGGCGCCAATTCAATAGGCGAGGCTCGTGAAATTCTCCACCAAACAAGGGAGTTACTAGCCAAGGGGAATTTTAAATTGCGAAAGTGGTGTTCGAGCGAACGTCGTGTGCTTGCTGACGTTGCAGCCGAGGACAGGGAGAATCTATTACAGTTTCATGATGGTACTAACGTCACAAAAACCCTTGGTCTAGTCTGGGAGCCCGACTCCGACATCTTCATATTTTCCTTTTCGCCACTCGTGCCACAATCGAAATTGACCAAGCGCGCAATTTTAGCCACCATTGCCCGACTATATGATCCCCTCGGTTTAATCGGGCCCATCATAACGAAGGCCAAAATCTTCATGCAACAGCTTTGGAAGGAAAAATTACATTGGGACGAAGGCCTTCCACAATCATTACATTATACTTGGAAGGAAATATGTGAAGAGTACACCCTGGTTGATCGTTTCAGTTTTGATATATATGTTTTGATCCCTGGCTCTAGCTTAGAAGTGCATGCATTCTGCGATGCAAGTTTGTTAGCATATGACGTGTGCGTATACGTGCGTGCTGGGAAAGATGGAACCGTCCGCACAAATCTTCTTTGCTCCAAGTCCCGCGTTGCACCACTAAAGACGCTGACTATACCAAAACTCGAGCTTTCAGCAGCCTTTCTGTTAGCCGAGGTAGTATCCAACAACTCGAAACAAAATATTTTGAAAGGTGAATTTTGTTGTTGGTCCGATTCGACCATAGTTCTGTCATGGTTACGTGATGAACCATCCAACTTTAATAATTTTGTGTCAAATCGAATCAGCAACATCCAAACTCTGACTAAGGGCATGAGTTGGCGCCACATTCCCTCAGAGGTTAATCCCGCGGATATTCTGTCAAGGGGAACAAGCCCTAGAGAGCTACTGAATTTGCCTCTTTGGAAGCACGGCCCGGACTTTCTTCGTGAAGCCCATCACAAATGGCCAGCTCGTCCCACTATGCTGCGAGACTTGCCGGAGCGACGAAAACGTGCGCTGGTCTCGGTGGTAAGCGTAGATCTCACACTTAGCTGCAAGTTTCTTCACACGTTTAAGAGGCTACAACGAGTTTATGCGTACGTCTATCGATTTTCGAGGCCTGTCGGTACCAAATATTCTGGACCACTAAACACAAAGGAAATCCAGCAGGGAAACTTTCTAATTCTTCGCATGATGCAGAGAGCAAGCCTACACAAGGGGTATCGGCTTTTGGATGCCGGAAAGGAAGTGGAAGTTTCATCGGACATTTGATCACTAAATCCATTTATCGATCAGCATGGGTTGATTCGAGTTGGCGGCAGGCTGCAGCACTCCACATTGGGGTTTGAGGTGAAACACCCCATCATTTTACCCAAACGACATCCGGTAACGGATTTAATAATCAACCATTTTCATCAGCAAATGCTCCACGCGGGGCCCCAATCATTACTGGCATCTATACGGTTGCAATATTGGCCCATTGGGGGCAGAAAAATCGTTTCGCGTGTGGTTGATAAATGCATCCGCTGTTTTTGTGCCAAGCCTAAATTGATGAAGCACATTATGGGAAGTTTACCATCAGAAAGGGTGCACCCGGGTGTGACATTTTTAACTACGGGAGTGGACTTCTGCGGGCCGTTCCATTATCAATCTGAAGTGCGAAACCGCCCTCCAATAAAATGCTACGTTAGCCTGTTTATATGCTTTACAACCAAGGCCATCCATCTGGAGTTGGTCAAAGATTTGTCCACAAAATCGTTTCTAGCTGCCTTGAAAAGATTCGTTTATACGCGTGAAAGCCTTCAAACTATATGGTCGGACAACGCGACCAACTTTCTCGGTGCAAAAAACGAGTTAAAGGAACTAAAGGCCATTTTTCTAAACGCCTCTCGTATGAAAGAAATACACGATCACTGTTTGAACAATGGTATTGATCGGAAATTTATTCCTGCGCGCTCTCCGCACTTTGGGGGCCTTTGGGAGGCCTCGATTAAACTAACGAAATTTCACTTAAAACGCGTCGTTGGCTCCTCCACATTAAACTTTGAGGAATTTCGAACCCTGATATGCCAAATTTCTGCAGTCATAAATTCACGTCCATTATGTCCCATTTCAGAAAATCCTGATGATCTCGAAGTGCTGACTCCAGCCCATTTCCTGATTGGTGAACAGTTTACTTCTATCGCAGAACCCGACGTTACTACTTTAAACATTGGTCGCCTTAATCGATGGCAGAGAGTGTGCTACATGCAGCAGCAATTTTGGAAGAAATGGCAGACGGAGTACTTGACTCTCCTTCAGCATCGGCATAAGTGGAATGGCTCCCCACCGAATCTGCGCGTTGGGGCTATGGTCCTAATTAAGGACGAAAATCAACCCCCATTGAAGTGGCCCTTGGCGAGAGTCTTGGAAACGATCCCTGGTGGCGACGGTGTAGTTCGAGTCGCGCTTTTAAAAACCGCCCAGGGAACCTACAAAAGGGCGCTGACGAAACTATGCCTCCTGCCGATTTCAGATAATGTGGTTGAAGGCTGAAGCATTCAACGGGCGGAGGATGTTGGTAATCTGGCAGCACCGATGACTTACTGCTGATTGTTTATTCTTTTTGCTTTGCTTGTTCGTTCGTTTTTCATTTCGACTTGTCAATTCCTACACGAGGAAAACGCTAATAAAATTTGTCACTTAACCGCATTTTTGTGTTGCGCATTTCCTTTTTATTAATCTAAAATTATTGGGAGCATCCTTGCATACCACGTGATATAAGGTCGTTAAAAACGCTTAACGATTTAACACCGCTCTTGAATCCTCTCTTCCATCAGCTGAATTTTGTTTTCCGTTGATTTCAGAGCTGCGAGTACGGAATCAGCGAGTGAACCGTTACTCTCAAGGCACAAATTTTTTGAAGCGGGCGAATCTTTGAGTGAAGTTTGTGCTTTTCGCTTACCGGCTGAATCCATATGAGGTGTTTTTCCTGCTTGTTTGTAAGAAAACGAAGGCAACAGTTGATTAGCAGGTGGTAAAAAGCTTCAGATGAGGGCAGAAGATGTATACGCTAGCGAAGCTTTATTTTTATTTATTTTAAATTTTAAAAGCAGGGAAGGTAATCATTACAAATAATGATTATTTTATGATTTTTATTTTTTCGCGCAGAGATTATCATTAATTTTGAGTTTTATTTTTCCACTTAAAAGTAATGATAATTTATAAAATTGAAAAGGCCATACAGACGCAACCTACTGTAATTCTGACTTGAAAAGTTTGGGTCTTATTGCTTTTATAAGGGTGCGGCTACCTCTCAAAAGGATACGCCGGTAATCACGCTGGTATAGTTGAGTTGCTTAATAATCATTATACTTAGTGATTCCATAAACAAAGGCCAAGATCAGAAAAAAAGGCATTAAAAAAAGTGTCAGAATAATTACCACTTTCTCACTAAATTTATTTAAAAATGCAAGCCACCAGAGCTACTTTTTTTTTAAGAAAAGACAAATTAATTTTTTTTTATGCAATCCAGCACAGCTACCTTAATACAGTCAGTCAATAAAACTTAGGTACAGTGTTGCCAGAACTTTTTGGGCCGACCGGCTAGATTGGCAAAAAAAAGCGGCTAAAAACGGCTAAAATGTTTTAGTGAAATTTCACATAGACTCTGGCAAAAAACGGCTAAAATGTTTTAGTGAAAATCCACATGCTTTATTTAAATAAATCGCAAGAAACGAAAGACTAGTTAACACCATTAATTTATATCGAGTGTATATTCCTCATCATCAAATGAATCACTCTTGTATATATCACCTGAATTCATTAATTTTAAGAGATCGTCATCTACAGTAAAATTATGGCAGCATTTTTCTTCACGTTTTAAACCGTATCTTATATATAAAATAGCGTTTAACGTTTTAACGCACATTGGATTTCTTTGCTTAGTTTTTATTATATTCATTGAACTAAATATTCGCTCTACTTCTGCATCACTTATAGGCAAAACAAGAAAACTAAAAACTAGGTTGCAAAGGTCAGCAAAAGGGTTTTCTTCTAGGGCATTTCGAAATTGATAAACTTCGGCCCAAAATTTTACAGTTGAGTCTAAATTACTCCAGGTATGTAACGTTAACCGTTGCCATTGCATCTCTATGGATGTTATTTTGTCGGCATTATATTTGCGTTTTTGTTGCTGTAGTTGAACAAATACTTTTGGTTTAATTAGGGCCGGTTGTTCAATGTCTGGTTATCACTACCACTACACTATCGACGATTTCGACATCATGCATGTAACATGTGATCGATAAAGCAGTAGTTGTGCTTAACCGGAGCTTCTACCTCCGATTTGTGCTAATCAGACATTGAACAACCGGCCCTTACTCTTAATGCATTTCCAACCGAAAAAAGTCATTTTTTTTAGTGTGGCAGTATTTGTAGGGAGGGGTTGGCGTAATTCCTTTATTAAAGTGATAATAAAATAGCGACCATTTTCTCGAATTATTTTCTCGGCTTCGTGGTCGGAAGCGTTTGTGCTTACTTTTGTTTTTAAATACTATTCAAAACTGTGATAAAACTGAGGAGATGGAGCAAGGTATGGTTCCAACGGGGAGCATATAGGATCAAATGTGTCCGCGCTAATAACCACTAGGGAGCATAGATGCGAAAGTAAAACATTGAGTTCATTAAAAATCTTCATTGGGTCTGCAATATTGCCTTCGAACAACTTGTTTACTTTTTGCACCTGAAAATTAGGCATATAGTAAAATCGGCTAAAAACGGCTAACTTTTTTTTACAAACCGGCTAACAAATCGGCTGCCGGCTAGATCGAATTTTCTCCGGCTAGTTGCTATCAAAACCGGCTAAATCTAGCCGGAAAACGGCTAAAATGGCAACGCTGCTTAGGTACAACGAATTTTTCACAATACGGGCAACCATTTTCGAAATATTTTAGTTTTCGGTAATTTTTTATAAAAATATGGTCAATTCTACAACAAAATCCCCAAAAATCAGAGTTCCAAACCTTTTGCAAAATTTAAGAAAATTCTGCAAAATTTCATTAAAATAATTCACTTTCTATTTACGCTCTCTAGAAAAAAGTTGAGTTTGCAGTTTTTTAGCCCATTCAATTTTAGTATAATGAAGTGTAAGTATGAGGAAGCTAGGGCTTACCAAACAACAAAAAAACTAGTTGCCGGTATTGTAAAAACTTCGCTGTACCTAAACTTTATTGACTGACTGTATATCTTATTTAAGTTAAGTACGACAAAAACTTTCGAAGTACTTCATATGCATATAAGCTTAAAGAGAACTGAATTTACTTAAAAATCAATATGCTTAAATTTAGACAAGTAAGACAAAGTGAACTAATATTTTTACTTTTAAGCAGAACGCTCTTTTGTTTTTACTTACTTCTTAAGTTTAATACTACTACTACTACTAATGTGGTTTTGTGTGGTAAATTTTTATTAAATGCGTTTAAACATTTGTGATGGTATTGTCCTTCCTTCAACCGATCGTATTTAATATAAAAGGGAAATTTT